TTAATTTTATTATACTTTCTGAAATACTAACAGTGGAATGTAATTCCCACAGAAACAAAAGCTTTCGATCGTTTTATGTCAAAAGATGGACAATGTTGAAACAGGTAGCATATTATTTATTTCAAATCAGCGTCGGCAGGTAGGAGAAAGTGCGAACAACAGTGCCGTCTTACGGAGGGACCACTAAATACAGACCCCGTCGCAAACGTGTTAAGCCATAAAAAATCGATTTTTTGAAAATCCTAGAGTGGTTTTAGCCCTTAAAGCAATTTATTTATAACATGAGTAACAACAACTCTATTTGCTTCTATCGTGATGTAAGTAAATGTGATTTGTAGTACATTTATCATAATTATTACAAAGAAAAAAATTTCAGAAATAAGTATCATTAAAGATGAAGTAAAAGAATTTCAATGTTAAATTAATATCTCTTCCTAATTAGCTTGTAGTGATTATTATTATTGTAGGAAGCAAGCATTTTGCGAGTTTGCCCATTTAGAGGTGAGCATTAACGGTTAGAATCAACTCTTCTTGCCGACCCCGGGATAATAAACAACACGCTTAGGAACTGTCACTCCAACAGGCGAATTTAAAAGATTCGTCTAGAATATGCGGGCGATACATACATAAAAGGATCCGCTCATGAAATGGTAGGACAGTTTTCCGGAAAACACGGTTATAAACATGATTATGATTACTAATTCATACACTACTTATGTTAATAACAATTAGTAGAAATTCAGATTTGGTTTATCTTCCATATTATATTATAAACAGCATCAAATAAGCTATATAAATTGTAAACTTATTTAATAACTAAAATTAACTAGAAGTTGTGCGATTTAAAGACTATTATTATAATTTGTTTTTTCTTAATGGAACCATACATATTTTCTTTTGAGTCGGTCAGTTTGGTAGATTATTTTACATAAAACATTAATAATTCATGAAATATTTTAAACTCAAAATTGAGATATGTTGTACAAAATTTGAAGTATGTTTACTTCCAATGTCGGCAGTAGAGGGCGTGGAATTCAATCATTTATTTTGCATGGAGTTGTAAGTAGTTTACCACTTTGCGTTAGCATGGATGGCGTTGCGATGTTCAAACTTGGTTGGACTGCCGTTTTCGCGATCCTGCTCGCAGAAGTTTAAATTCTGTGTTAACATATTGACAGCCGGCCCCGCGAAGACGCGGGTTTCTGAGTCTGTCACTTGAGCGCCGGCCCCGCGAAAATGCGGATTTCTGAGCCTGCTGCTTGAGCGCCGGTCCCACGATGATGTGGAATTTTTTTTACTGGTATGAGTGTCTTACACATCGATTTGTATTTACTTGCATAGTTATGTCGATCTTCATTTTTTATACTCCAAAAATAAAACGTATGCGAATGGGTCAGAAACAATCAAAGCCAGAATTATTCTCGAACAGTGCATTTCATAGTCATTATCTGTTTCGTACGCTTACGCTTTTGGTTGAACAGTATAACAAGTTTTATTATTCTGTAACTTTTTACCCATATAATATGAGTGAAATTATTAATGAGTATATTGCTGACTCTCTATCGGATTATTCGGTACATTCAGAAGATTCTGATATAGAAGTCGAGGACAGCGATAGTGATGTGGGTCCAAGAAGAAGATCAAGAGCCATTCCACTACAGCATTCAAGCGATTCCGATGATTCCAGTGATTGTAAAATGTCCACAGAATCGCACAATGAAGTATGGTCAGATGTCGATAAAATTCCTAATATACCAGATTTTACTGGTGAGCCCGGCCCAAAGATTTTTCCTACTGATAAGAAAAGCGTAAAAGAAGTTGTTGAATTGTTTATTGGCAATGATTTGTTTCAATTATTGATCAATGAATCCAACATCTATTACCACCAAAATAAGGACAAGATGAGTGAGAAGAAGAAAATGTTAAAATGGCATGATATTACTCTAGCCGAGATGAAAAAATTTCTTAGTATAAATATAATGATGGGCCAGGTAAAGAAAGATGTAAAAGATGATTACTGGTGCTCCGAATTTTACACGAGAACACCATCGTTCTCTACTATAATGCCACGTAATAGATTTCGCCAGATTTGGAGGACGTGGCATTTTTCAAACAATGAAACAATAACCGGTTCTAATAAGCTCGAGAAGATTCAGCTCATTCTGAGCTATTTATTAGATAAATTTAAATCTGTATATACGCCTAGGAAAGAACTTTCGCTTGATGAATCCATTATTCCATGGCGTGGAAAATTATCTATAAAAACATACAATCCAGCAAAAATAATAAAGTACGGCTTACTTTGCCGTATGCTATGTGAAGCTAGAACCGGATATGCTTCCAACATAGAGATATACTGTGCGGAAGGCAAAAAATTGGACCAGACAATTATGTCATTACTTGATAAAAATATATGTTTGGGACACCACTTATATATGGACAACTATTATAACAGCATTAAAACTGCAGAATTGCTTATGACAAATGGTACACGAGTTTGTAGTACAATTAGAGCAAATAGGGGTGTTCCCGAGTCTTTACGGCATCTCATTGTCAGATTGAATATATGTAATAATCCATCATGAAATAAGAAACTGTATTTTTTTCTATAATTATCCACCTAAAAGAAGATATTTTGTACCAAACTGACAAATATGACGTTCAGTGCTACTTCCGTCGATTTACGAAATCATGTAATTTCTTGTGTCGCCTTCGCCGATTGATTTTGCTATTTTAATCTTTTTCACTGCATTTAATTTTTCGAAATATACTATGCGATATTGCTATGATACGAGAATATATTTAAAAACACAGAATGTAAAAAGTTTACTTACGTAGTTGGTACCAACAACTTTTGATAGGGGGTAAATTTATGGTTTATAGATACATTAAGGGGGGAGACCAGTATGACGCAACCGAAAACGGGCCTATCTTTAAAAGATCGTCAGAGTTTTGACGCTTAAGAAAAATCAAATCTTTTGATGAATTTGGTTAAAATGGACCTTTATTTAAATTTAAAAAAAAAAAATCAGTACAAATAAGGACGGTATAGTTAAAAACAAAAAAAGATAGATGATCTACACTTCGGCGCACTTCCTCACTGTAACCAGGGTACAGATCAAACGAGTCGTAAGAAATGCATAAAATAAAATTATAAGTAAAGGAAATCGATGCTGTTTTCGGCCTAACCTCCGACCTGATTTGATTATTCAACCCAATAGCATATAAAAATTATCAAAGTGGCAAAACACGTAATTACGCAAATTTTTCCAACATTTTATTTTTTTTCTCCAAAATTAGATTTGTTTTCTGGGATGTTTTAGGTTAGGCCGATACCCATTGATTTGAAATACTACCACAAAAAATTTCAAGGTGATCTGAACCTCCGTTTAGGCTGTAGGCTGGTTGCCAAGTCCAAAAATGGTGTTCCGAGAAAAACGAGGTTAAAGTTATATGTGCATACGCGGGATAGTGCTATGTGCGATACGGAAACAGGTCTAGCGACGAGAGCTTTTCGAATTTTTAAACCCGATTTTCGGCATTATACGTAGGAAAGAAGGGAGAATTTTTTAAGATGATAAAAAAAAATCGATTTTTTTAAGGTGTCATACTGGTCTCCCCCCTTAACTACGTATCAACTCTTCTGAAAATGCCATCCATAACCTCCCAGCAGAACAGGCCAATGAAATAAGAAGACTGACCACCAACACCTTAAAATCGGCCAAAGCACCTACTCCCAACCTAACCAAATCCGAGCAGAGGGCACTACAGGACCTTAGAAAACGCAAAGACATCCTTATCCTCCCAGCTGACAAAGGTAACATGACGGTCATCATGGACAGAAACGAATACATTAAAAAAGTACATGACCTACTGGACAGCACAACCTACAGGACAGTGAACAAAGACCCCACACCCTCGGTTGAAAGAGCCACTACTACCCTTATCAAAAATGCCAAACTTTCTGACCACATCACAAAAGCCATTCTGCCCAAGGAATCAAAAACACCCAGACTCTACGAACTACTTAAAATCCATAAATCCAACATTCCACTCACAGACCCATAGTTAGCACCATCGGTTCTCCTACATACAAACTTTCAAAGTACCTTACATCTGTCCTCAAACCCCTTACCGGCAACACGCCCAGCTCCATAACAAACTCATTCCACTTTATAAGAAAGATCCAGGACATCCGAACCCTACCCCACGACATACTTGTCAGTTTCGACGTGCAATCCCTCTTCACCAATGTCCCCATCAAAAGAAGTATCGCAATCATCCAGGACAAAGTCCCTGAAAACTTAGTTCCACTAATCCAACACTGCCTCAGCACCAGGGTACATACTATGAACAGGTGTCCGGAGCAGCAATGGGATCACCTATCTCTCCCGTAGTTGCTGACATCTACATGGAGTACTTAGAGAATTATATTCTCAACAATGCGCCACTAAAACCATCTCAGTGGTTCAGGTATGTAGATGACACCTTTATAGTTTGGAGCCACGGAAGAGAAAAACTTGGCGAATTCCTCGATTACATAAATTCCTTAGATCCTAACATACAGTTCACTATGAAAATAGAAAACCCGGACCGTTCACTACCTTTCCTCGACACCCTTATTACTAGAAAAGCAGACGGATCCCTTGGACATCAGGTTTACAGAAAACCTACACATACCAACCGATACCTACATGCTACATCCCACCACCACCCTTCCCAAAAGAATTCCGTAATCACATCTGCAAGAGAGAGAGAGAGAGAGAGAGAGAGAGAGAGAGACGTGCCGATGAGCGTACCGTGCCATATACAGTTGTATTTGATTTAAGTGGGTTTCAGTTTCAGTTTGCTCTTTCGTTTCATTTTCTTTCCTTCTGTTTTTCTTTGGTGTAAAAAAATATATAATTCGTTTCATTTTCTTTTCTTCTGTAACATTTTATTTTCTTTTAAACTTCCTATAGTAACATTTATCAGAAGTGGGATACGTGAATTTCGCGAAAATGAGTCGAGTGCAATTAGAACAATTAAATATTGAGGGTCTGCGGGAGTTAGCACGTCAACAAATCCTCGATATTCGTGGAGTGCGTGCAGTGCTTTTTGAGAGGCTCATAGATCATTTTGAAGCGATTGGATGGCCAGAACAAATAATTATACCAGGACCGAGTGAGACGGAAAGCCAGTCAGCAACCGAAGGAAACACGTTGCCGTTACAAAAGGACCTTCGAACACACGGTAACGTAAACATAAGATCGGATGACACAGGTACGTCGCGGTATGGCCAGAAAAACACAAGAATAGACAACTCAAGGGTTCCCAATCTGCAGGAGATAGTACAGACAGTTCTACAGGCTTTAGGACCGGCCAGCATGCAACCCTCAAATCAGCAGATCATGAATGCGGCTTCCCCTTCGCCGAGTGCCGGGTCGCAATCCAGTGCTTTGCAAAACTGGAATCAAGTTAAATTTACTGTTAAATTAATACCTCCTTTTTCGGGACAGGAAGAAGACAAGGTAATAACCTGGTTGGAAAGGATTGGGAACATCGGTCGTATTTATCAACTTTCAGATGAGGTGTTAGTGCTCGCCGCCGTTAACCAGCTCCAAGGTCGAGCGTTAAGCTGGTATAACCGTCAACCCATAGAAACAATATCGTCTTGGGAGGATTTCAAATTTCACGTACGGGCTTATTTTGAAAGAAAGGAATCGGTCACAGTAACATTGTCAAGGGTAGGAAGTCGAACGTGGAGAATGTACTCGGAGAAATTTGCTGACTACGCAGAAGACAAGTTAAAGTTGATGCAATCCTTAACACTCACCGAGAAGGAGAAAATAGAATTATTAGCAGATGGGATTAAGGATCCCTCATTGAGAAGATTCGCACTAGATACTTGGGCTACCACGGTTCCAGAGTTTATTAATCACATAAGGAAAATAACGGAAGACAACGTAGCTCAACGACCGGAAACCAGCAAGAAAAGTTTGCCAGTAGTGAGGCCTTCCTCGAACAGGAAGATTTGCGCACATTGTAAAAAATCGGGGCATGAGATCCAGGAATGCCGTATAGCAAAGGTCATTTGCTATAATTGTGGACAAACAGGACATCTGAGTACGGGGTGTCCAAAGAAGAGAAGCGGAGCAGGGCCTTCCCTAAACCATGTGGCAGAGAGTTCGTTGGAGGACACCGTAGAAGCGGCTACAGGATCGTCGTCAATAGCAGTAGTTACGCGAAGCTTCAACCTTCAGGGAAAAGAAACTCCGTTTATAACAGTCTATAGTTTAGGAAAAGCGGACAAATCGTTTTGTACACTAGTAGACACAGGTAGTCCGGTAAACTTAGTAAAGAGGTCTGTATACACCGTTTTCCTTCAGAATAATAAATTGCTACGAGTTCGGGATAATTTAAACCTAAAAGGGGTTAACAATTCAGTTATTTCGGTATATGGAAAGATTCATGATCAAATACAGCTAGAGAAATTAAAGGGTCAGTGGTTTGATATAACTCTGTTAGTTGTCGATGATAATACTATTGTGTTTGACATGCTTCTTGGTCGAGAGTTCTTTATGGAATCTAGGATTAAAATAATTTACGAAAATGGGGAATTTATCTTCGAATCTCCTTTCAATAATAAAGAAAATACGAACACAATTTTAGTTATAGAGGCAGTAAATCAACGCGATCAGTATGATATTGCTTATGAAAACCTAGATAAAGACTTAGATTTCTCTTCTAAAACCCGTTTAATTGAATTGTTACGCGAAATAGATTCAGCCGAAATCGAACCGGTTAAGGACAACTATAGGATTAGGGTGCACTTGAAAGATCAGACACTTTTCAGATACGCTCCTAGACGAATGTCAGTCCAAGAGAAAGCGGAATTGCGGGAAATCACGGACAATTTATTGGCGCGCGGTATTATAAAACCGAGCATCTCACCGTACTGTTCGCGAATTGTATTAGTTACGAAACGGAACGGCTCTAAGCGTATGTGCGTTGACCTTAGACCACTAAATCAACGTATTTTTCCACAGAAATTTCCTTTTCCGCTTATCGAGGACCTAATAGATCAACTAGGTGGGAAAAGAATTTTTTCAAAATTGGATCTAAGAGATGGATTCCACCAGATAGAAATTCACCTAGAGGATACGAAGTATTTTTCGTTTGCGACGCCATTTGGACAATTCGAGTATGTGAAGATGCCTTTCGGATATTCCGAAGCACCTTTCCGCTTTTCCGAGTTCCAGAAGCGGCTTGCATGTATTTTTGACACTCTATTACGTAGCGGTAAAATCTGATTGTACATAGATGATATATTGATTCCGACGGTTACTATATCTGAAAATTTACAGATCCTGAGGGAAGTTTTGACCATGCTAAGGAGTTACAATCTGGAGCTGAATATGTCCAAATGTTTATTCTTAAAAAAAGAAATAGAGTTTTTGGGCTATGTAATCTCAGAAAAGGGGGTAACACTAAATCAGAGACACACCGAAGCTATATCTGCTTTTCCATACCCAACCAACTTAAGACAAGTACAAGGGTTTGTGGGACTATCGGGTTACTTTAGAAAGTTCATTCACAACTATACTTTAAAAGTAAAGCCACTTCATCACTTAACGAAAAAAAATGTACAGTTTGATTTTAACGATGAATGTAAAAAATCTTTTGATTTGTTAAAGACAGAGCTAACTTCTTTTCCAACGTTACGAATATATAACCCTAAAGCCGAAACTGAATTACATACAGACGCTAGTTGTCAGGGTTTTGGGGCCATATTACTCCAACGTCAAGATTCAAAAGATTTAGCACCGATCGCATATTTCAGTAAAGCTACAACTGACACAGAAAAAAAATATCACAGTTTTGAATTAGAAACTCTAGCTATAATCAAAGCCTTGGAACGATTTCATGTTTATTTACAAGGTATATCGTTTCGTGTGGTGACGGATTGTAACTCTCTGGCGTTGGCCCTCAAAAAAATTAATATTAATCC